TGGGCTATGAGAAACTCGAGAACAAGAGTGGAATCTTCCACATCTCTCCTCTTCACCACTGTGTCCAGCAAAGTGCTGGGCACACAATGTGTAATAAATGCTTGTTATGAATGAACTTTACACAGCGTCACATTTCTAACCCTCCCTCCCTCTCCTCCTCATCACTGTGAGGTTTGAGTTTCGGGCAGAGAGAAAAAGAGACAGAGAAATGGATCCCTTGTGGCTTGATCCACTTGAAAGCTGTGCCAAGGTTGATAAGTGTTTTGCTGTCCTGGAAAACTCAAGTAGAACTTGTCAGATGATGCTACAGATCTTGAGTAGCTCATCTCTTGCCTTTCAGGAGAATTTCCAGACAGGTGATTTCATTTCAGATTTTGTCTGTCTTATTTGAGTAGATTTAAAAGCCAAGACGTTAAAATGTCAGTATTAGATTTGTGCTAGGGAAGTAATAGAAGTGATAAAAGATCTCCATCTCACATTCAGGCGCTGCCGGTGGAATGAAAACGGAGATGACCGTTTTTGGAAACTGTTTGCCAGTTTATCAAGCTAAATGTACACCTACCCTATGACCCAGAAATTCTACTCCTAGATATATACTCAAGGGAAATTTAAGCAAATGTCCACCAAAAAAAAAAAAAAAAAAAGTTTTTGTACAAGAATGCCCTTTATTCATCATATCCTCAAACTAGAAATATCCCAATTGTCCATCAAAAGAAAAATGGATAGACCTGGCCGGTGTGGCTCAGTTGGTTGGGTGTCATCCTGTGCACTGAAAGGTTGCTGGTTCGATTCCCAGTCAGGGCACATGCCCGGGTTGTGGGCTTGATCCTGGGATAGGGGGAGACAGCTGATTGATGTTATGCTCTCACATTGATATTTCTCTCTCTACCTCTCCCTTCCTCTGCCTCTAAAAATCAATAAACAACAAAAAAAGAATGGATAAACAAACTGTTTATTCAAACAATGGAATACAACACAGCCTGAAGGAGCTGCTCTTTAAATGCTGCAATCAGCAAATTTGTTAGGAGGAGATATTATTTCCTAATTAATTTGAGCTACAGATGGGTTGATAAGAGCCAAATGACCAATCAGGATGGAAGGGGTGCAGAGAGAGCCAAGGAGAAAATGGAACACTAAAAATGGGCAGCTGGCTTGGCTGATGTGGCTCAATGGTCGAGCATCGACCTATGATTCCAGAGATCAGGTCTGATTCCTGGTCAAGGCACATGCCCAGGTGTGGGCTTGATCCCCAACAGGGGGCGTGCAGGAGGAAGCTGATCAATGACTCATCATTGGTGTTTCTATCCCTCTCCCTCTCCCTTCCTCTCTCTGAAATCAATAAAGACATATTTTTAAAAAAGGGCAGCTGTATGAATAGCCCAGGGATTCAAATTATTTTGATTTTTCTTGACTATCAGTCAGGATTGGGTCAGGAGACAGGAATCACACTGGTGATTTGAACAGGAAGAATTTAATATAAAGAATTGTTACCTAGATAGTTATAAAGTTATTAACTAGTAACTGAACAGGTAAAAAGAACTCTGAGGGATGATGGAGTAGCTACCACTCCCAGGAGGAAAGGAACCAAAAGGAAAAGGTTGCAATTATTGAAACTTTAAAGATAAGAGGATATTCAGCCATAAAAAGGAATGAAGTATGGATACATGCTCGAGCTTGGATGAAATGTGAAAACATTATGCGAGGTAAAAAGCCAGACATATAAGTCCACATGTTGTATGATTCTATTCACATGAAAATCCAAAATGGGAACTCTATAGAGACAGAAAGTAGGTTAGTGGTTACCAGAGGCTGGGAGGGTGGGATGGGGGTATAGGGAGGTGATAGCTAAAGGGTGTGGGGTTTCTTTTTTTAAAAGATGTGGTAAAATATACATAAAAGTTCTATTGGACAGCACTGCTCTAGAAAGTATTAGCCAACTAAAAGACACAAATTCAACAGATATCACACGGGTTGTTTTAAAATTAAATACCACTTTATAATTTTATTTGCACCTAGCACACACATTTTTTGAAAACTAAGACATGCCCTATTAGTCAAGAAGTTAACAAAATATAAGCATCCACATAGAATATATTCTAAGGTGACTTCATTTACATAGCTTCTCAGAGAAACACACAGTAAATTCTTTTTGCTTATAGGCCAGTGTTGGACCAGATTTAGAATTCACAAGGCTGCGGGGAGGTTCCACAACACTACCCTGATGGATGACTTGTATCCACACAGCACCATCAAGCCGGCTGGTTTCCACCAGAAAACTAATGGAGCTGCTGGTCCTCCCTTCCCTACCCAGCATTCATTTCCATGCTGCAAAAGCCCCACAGGATCTGAAGCTTAATGGGATGGCATCATTAGACCTGGAGCTTCATGCGAGGGGTCAAGGGAAGGGGGTGCTGAACTTTTGTCTAAACCGGCAGGCACCAGTCTTCAAAGAACTGGTTCTAATATCTAATAAGGAAACCCAGAATCCCCTGAATAGCAGCGAAACTGGATTTTAATTCCCGTTTTGTGTTCTGTTCTTGCAGGATTGCAGCTTGGCCTTGAAAAGGGACATTTATTATCCCTCCAGATCTTTCCTCCATACTGCATAAGGCCTCCTTTCCAATCAGTGCTGATCCTGCTATTCTCTTCCTCATGAGCCATCGATGACTCCCATGCAATAACTTTAAACCCCTCTGCCAGGCATTCGAGGCCCTCTGATTCGGCTTCCACTGCTTATTTTTCCAGGTTCATCTCCCACCACCCTCCCTGGCTCTCCCTGTGATCTCCCCCTCTCTATTTCTGTCTTGCAAATGCTGCCTCCTCTGCCCAGGGGATGGTGGGGACGGTGATCACCTGACTTTCTATGCTTTGTCCAAAACTTAGCTAGATTTGCCACTCATCGATGAGTGGAGCCAAAATCACTTCCATTTTGAACACCTCGTTCTGGGCTCAGGGCCTGACCTTGAGCAGGACCTCCATAACTGATATTTTCTGTGGTCCACTATTGCACTTGGCCTGTCCGGCCAGTTTCCCTCCCATTTCTGGGTATTTGTGTCTCCCCGTGCTGGCCTAGAGGGCAGGAACCATTCTTGTTCTTCTTGCCCTCATCATCCAAATGCCTAACAAGTAGTAAATGCCTCATAAATATTGCCGCATTGAGTTGATACCTATCCTGAAGGGGGAAGGTCACTCAGTGTCTGCTGCCTCTTAGGCATGTAAGACACAATACACAAGTGGTTTAGATACAATACAGAAATGGTTACCACAGGCAACAGAGTCAGTTTTGAAGTCAAGGTACTAAATCAGTATTAAGTGCAATCCATAAAGGTTAATGATTTATCAACACTGATCTACTAACACTGTTATCTTGCCAGTTAGTTAAAGGCTGTCAAAGGCTGTAGAGGGAAGCAGTAAGTGTAGCTCTAAGTAGTAATCAATGAATGGAGAGGTGCTTTTGATCCTATGTGACCTGCCGAATGAACCACAGGGAGGAAACTAGGAATGGTAATTCTAACTTCCCAGTAGGAGTGTGTCAGCCCCTGGGGGTTTTAAAGCAAACCGGCTCTCTCAATTATCAGGTGTCTCTCTCAATTACTAGGCTTTCAAGGTGTGTGATCCTTGGGTTACCTGCAATAGCATCACCTGTGCTGTAAATTAAGCATGCAGACTCTTGGGCCCTGCCCCCGTCCCACTTAACCAGAGCATCTGTGGTTGGGGGTAGGAATCTGCATTTTATATAAACTCCCTAGGGGATCTTTATGCTCATTAAGGTTTGCAAACCTTTACCCGCCATTCTTGAAAATATAGTCAGTCTAGGGGAAGGAGGAACGCAGCCAGAAAGAAGGCAGCAGCTCCACTTCTGAGGATGCTTGTGTCTCCCAGACATATGTGCAAAGGGATGGGACCCAAACAGTCTCTACTGACTCCAAGAAAATTAACCAGTAACTCAGGCTTGGTTTGTCGACCTATAATGGAGAGAATGGAGGGGAGGGGAGCAACTCGGTCTCTGGAATGAGCACCCCTGATCTTCCCAGAGGGCAGTGGTGTGCAGGAGACTACATGTCAAACAGCCAGACTTCCTGTCTAGCCTGAGTGATGCAATCACCTTGTATAAGATGCGGAAGGTTTCTTCCTCCATCATGGGCTGAAGTGTCAGCATCACTCTGCCCCTGGCCTTATTCTCACCCCTCTTCTCTTAACTTCCTAGTTCCTTTGGGGGCTGGGGGGAAGCAATCAAGTAGTTCACGGAACCAAAACCAAATCAGAATTCAGAGTAGATCCAATATAAACACATCAAGCACATCTTCACTGGGAGGGTGCAGACAACAGGAAGGCAGAGCACATTTCCTACAGGCAAATGACAGAATGTTCCACCCACAGCCGGCCCGCTAGGCAACGTGAAGGCGACACGAATGTTATCTCAACTAGGGAATCACGAGCGAGAGGGGTAGGGATCAGGCCTGCACGTGAGGTGGGGAAGACCAGACTCGGCGGCCTCCAGCCTTTCACTGGATTTGGAGAGGACAAGCAGAGTCTCTGCCTGGCTTTAGCTCCGAAGGACGTGGCAACCTTTGGTCGCTGAGGAAGCTCAGTTACCAACGTCAAGGGTGATAAAGGCTTTCCCAATCTACTGGGCCAACCAGGCAGAGGCTGGGTTCCCAGCTGGGACACTGCTTTCGTCTTCTCCCTCAGCTCCACACCTGAGATTTCCAAGACCAAGATAGCTTATCCTCTGCCAGAGACAAAGCCTTTTTCAGATCCCCATCCAGACAGTTCTCGGTTTAAAAAATAAGACTTGAAAGGCAAGTTTTAAAATTAAGAATTGAACCACCATCCAGCCAGTATGGCTCAGCGGTTGAGCTTCCACCTAAGATCCAGGAGATCGTGGTTCGATTCCCGGTCAGGGCACATGTCCGGGTTGCGGGCTCGATCCCTAGTCGGGGGCCTGCAGGAGGCAGCCGATCAATGACGAGACGACTTTCTCATCATTGATGTTTCTATCTCTCTCTCTCTTCATCTCCTTGAAATTAATAAAAATATATTAAAAAAAAAAAAAAGAGTTGAACTACTGTCTGCACGCTTGAGCAGCTGTAAGTGGAGGGAAGGTGAGTCTCCTTCAGGGTGCACTCATTCCTTTTTGTTGTGTTCCAGGACTCGGTAGGGAACCCCAGAGGCGCTTCTGGAGCTGTGTTCTTCTTGCATAACAGGCAGTGTGGCCGGAGCATAGATCTCAGAAATGTTGTCATTGTTTTCCAGGGCCCCGTAGGAAAAAGAAGCTTTGAGGTCGGGCTGGACTACCATCCCTTTGTCATGCATGTTCTGCATACCTGAAATGAAATCCATTTTCCCCAAATCATTATGTGGTGAGGGGGCCAAAGGAGGTGGCACTTTTCTCTATCCTGCCACAGACTAATTATAGTGCTTGAGAGCTAATCATGTGCATTGTCAATTTCCTGAATGCTTTAGATTGAAAAAAGAACACCCATAAATATATACTAGAAATGTTATATTATGGTTGCTAAGCAAGGAGGGAGGCATCTTCAGGAAATATGCACACAGACCAGCCACTATCAAGGGAAACCATCGGTTGGCCTGGAATGTGGTGGGAAGGTCTGTTTGGGCCACAGGAGGAGTAGAACCAGTGCTGTGCCTGGAACATGGTAGATGCCATCACTTTTCTGCTGACTGAGATCAGGATCTAGAAAATGTCACTATATTGTTGACAGAAGAGGGTAAGTTTTGTGTCATGGACACGTCACGGTGACAGATGCATCACGACGCTCAGAGGGAGAGTTTTGACCTTACCATTAACATCCCCGATTCACATAAGTGGTGAGGTGTGACTTAGCTTATTACTTCTGGGCACACTGATGTTTGATTTCTACTTACATTTGAGAGGAAAACTTTAGTCATGAATTCCTTTAACCTTACTCGACAGCTCCCCTAGTCAGGTAGGACCTGGTCTTTTCTGAGGCCAACTCTTACCATGTAGGAATTAAGACTCTTCAAAGTCTCTTGTCCCCACGCTGAGTCATAAGAAACCGAATGCAAAGTGTTTTCTAGGAAAGCCTGATGATGATTATAACAGCTGACATCTCACTGCTTAATAGGCCTTCGACACTGGGCTAAGTGCTTTAAAAAGTAATAGTAACAGCAGCAGCAAAAATGATAATAGCTGACTCGTGCTAAATGTTTAGTTGGTGGCAGACACTGTTGCAAACAGCTATAAAGTTTTATCTCATTTGATCCTTACAGCTAGCAATAAGGGAAACGAGGCAGTTGGCGGTCACAGAGCTATGAAGTGGCAGTGCCAGGATTCAGGCTCAGGTGGCTTAAACTCTGAAGCCCACACCCGTACCTGGAATGCTGTGTGGGCCGCCCTATACACCTGCACTCAATCTCCAAAAGTCCTGTGACAGAGAGACGCTACTATCCTCATTTTCTGGACAAGAAAACAGGTTCAGAGAGGTGAGGTGAGGTAACTTGCCAAGGTCACACAGCTAAGACAGAGCTGGGTTCGGACACCAAAGCCCGTGCTCTTATTTACTCTGCAAACAGGCCGGGAAGACCCAGTTTGTGGAAGGCCCTTTGCTCCCACATTGCATAAGCCTTAGTTGACAGTCATTTGAAGGATACAGCTTAAGAGTCTGCGCTTTGATTTTTGGTCGGGGATGGGGGAAGATGAAGGGATGCTTTTTCCTCAGGGAAGAGACTTGCCTTACTGGGCATAGTTTAGCTTCTGGATTTTTAAATTTGGGTTTACTGACTCATTGCAATGAGGGAGATGGACACCATGGGGAAGCGTGGGGTGTTTCAGTAAAAAAGTATTAAGTTAGAAAGGACTTACTATTTGGGTTTGCATTAGGTGATTTGGGGGAAGGTTTAGGGAAGCAGGGCTTTGCTTTGGACTAGATGCCGTAGGGAAGTGGGGATAGTTCTATAACTGAGGATCTTAATTGTTATGTAGAAGGAGAGAAGACCAGACTGAGGGTAATCTGTGACTGGTAAAGAGCAGCCATCACTCATGTTAGGGGGATGGATGGTTGGCTCTTTGTGGTCTGGACAATGTTCATGTGTCGTCTGTGTTCAGGCATGATTCTGGAGTGGTCCTGTTTGTCTTGATCCATCAGGGTCACAGGGTGGCCTTGTCTGAGGTGAAATTGTTTATGTTCAGCCAGGGACACCAAGGCACAGCTCCCACCTATCAGGGACTGCTTTTCTCTCTCATTCTTTAGAAGTCTTTTAGATGCTAGAATTATTTTAAACCTCTCCAAATTGTGATGTGTAGTAAATTTGGGGGATTTGAATGCTCTGTGAATAGTACGGTCCTGGTCTGTTGTGAAGATACCAGTCTAGGGAGACCAAAAGAAAGGCCCTGATGCAAACCAGGGAAACCAAACAGCTAGAAAAGCTACTGTGTTTAAGCAGTTTTATTCTTCAAATTCTACCTGGCATCAGGTCAAACAAGTGTTTAAAATTTCCGAAGCTTTTTTTTTTTAAAGCAAAAGGGAAGTGAAACCAAATTTAACCAGGCATCTACCACGTCCCAGACACTGTGCAAGGGGGCCTTTAACACGTTATCCCACCACCCTGAAAGGAGTCCCAATTTACAGGTCACGGTCAGAGTCCGTGGGAGGTCCAGGCCCAAGGTTGCTGAGTGGGTAGCGGGAAGAACTGGGACTTGAATCCAGATCATCTGAACTCTAAGCCCATGCTCTTCATAATGCAGTACACAGGTCTACTCGGAAGTGTCTGGCATGCCACAGCAATAGGGCAGGGTCTCCTTTCTTCAGCACCCACTTCCCACTGGTCACAGGGTACAAAGAGGAAGCAAGAGCCACATCCACAAACAGGGCAGAATGCTGATCTTTAGGATTCCCTTAGGTTACCTTCTATTTTCTACCAGAAAATACATCTGTATATGTGTGTATACAAATAGTTATACAGGTATAAACACATACACAGTTTGTCAACACACAAACACACAGATACATACACATACTTGCACACACACGGGGTTGACACCTCACCTATCTGGAACTCAGCTATCCAGCGCCCTCATCTATCCGGAACACAGCCGAGACCAAGGAAGTAAGCAAAAAAGGCATCTGAGCAGCCCGGTTAGATGTTTAAAAAGTCCATGCACTAAGGCTCATGCACGTAACTCCTAGGAGAAACCTGAAGGCCCCAACTCAGAGCTTATGCATTTTAATTTCATACACAAGTCAAACAGGTTGGGTCAAATGAGAAGACTGACACGGTGTGGCTATGCTGGTAACAGCAGAAATTGCAGGCTAGAATGACACACAACGGCTTAACAGCAAGAGATAGGAAATAATGTGAAAAGTAGACACGTAAACAATGGGGTCACTTGAGGCAGGAGAACCTCCGTCAGCTCTGAGAACAAACCTACATCACAGAGTTATGGATTAAGCAGCACTCTATGCCATCAGTGTGATTATATTTTGTTCATTAGACTGTCTTAATGAAGCGTGGGAGAGTTCTATTATATTGAAAATAAAAATTGTGAGTTAAAGAGGGAAAACTAGTGGTCACCGGCAACTCATAGAATTTAGGTCAGCAAACCTAGCCGGGGCTGGCCCAGTGTCCTAACTTTTCTAATCTGGATCCCTCAGGCTGGACAGATACTCTCCAGTTCTCCACAGGCCCCACCACTCCCTTTTGTGCAGTACTTTGCTGATTTGCACAATTATGTTACTGTTAGGCCTTAAGGGCATTCGAGCTTGTGCTTCTCAGCGTGAACCCTCAACTCCCTGGGGAAATTAGGCTTTCCAGAACAATCCACTCCTTTGTGGCCTAAGGAGTGAGGTTAGAGTACTTGAATTTCATTCATCCTACTTTCCTTCCCCTCTCTGATCACTTCATTCCAACTAGACACATGGGTTTTTCCTTTTGCAGGCATGAAGCCTGGGGTTGAAGACCATAATTAATTACATCCATTATGAATCAGGATTGTCTTTAAAAGATCCCAAAATAGAAATGGGGACTGGCACGATGTGCTCAAAACCAACTGAGGTTCTTCAGCCATTGCCTCCTCTTTTGCACACCAAGATTTAAAAAAGAGAGAGAGACACAGAGAGACAGTCACACCATAATGGCACAGCACACCTTCCCTGTTCAAACCCAGCAGCTGGCTGTCTCTTTTTAAACAGGAAGCAGTCATTCTATATGGATGAGCTGGCCGGCTGGAGACACGGGATTTTAACGTTACCTGGCATGGCATCCATGGAAATATAGGGCTCGAATGGAACGGCCTTCTTCCTGTTCCGTGTGATCAAGAAGACGCCCAAGAATGCGATGAGGCACCTGAGGGACAGAGAGAAGGGAGGAAGAGATATGAGGCCAGAGTGAGGCTGGGAGGGGGCCTTTCAAACCCAGGGAATGGAAAAAAGATAGAAAGAAGGCTGCAGGCTGCAGAGGGGGGCGTTCACTGTGGAGCAGGCCTAAGGGGCTGCTGGGTCTGAGACCTGCGGGGCGCAGACGTGAGATGAATAATAACATCCCCACGCGCCCTCCACTCTGCACAAGTCTTAATGGGAATAAATTAGGCTCTCCCAGGCAAAACTCCACGGTCCTTCACTTCCACTTAGCCCGCGTCTCAGAACTTTGCCTTTAAAAATATGTTTCAATTTAAAATGTTCCTTATAGTCTACATTTAATCAATGCAGGAGTAGAGAAAGTAAAAATTGGAAAGTCCCTGTACTCCCCCAGTCCTACTCCTCCAGGGAGGTGTATATTCTTCCAGAGTCTTTTTTTTTTTTTTTAAATCCTCACCTGAGGATATTTTTTTCATTGCTTTTCAGAGAGAGTGGAAGGGGGAGAGAGAGAGAGAAAGAGAGAGAGAGAAACATCGATGTGAGAGAGACACATCAATTGGTTGCCTCCTGCACACGCCCAGACCTGGGCCGGGGACTGAGCCTGCAACCCAGGTACATGCCCTTGGCCAAAGGGTCCTGGGCCGACCCTCTAACCACAGAGCCAAGACAGCCAGGGCCCAGAGTCTTTTTTGTTGTTTTCTTTTCCCTGGATCTTAGATAAACAAGCTCTCTTTCTAAAAACCGAGGCATGATTTTCATGCAGTAAAACGCACAAACCCTAGATATAGATGTCTATGAATTTTATCTGTGCACACACACGCGTGATCGCACCAGGTCAACAGAGAAGACGTTTCCATCCCCTCCACTCCAGAAAGTGTCCCTGGGCCTCTTCCCAATTCACGCAACCCTTCCCCAGAGGAAGCCATCATTTTGACTTCTCTCACCACAGATTCGATTTGCCTGTTTTTGAGCTTCTTGCAAGCTACAGCATAGTGTGTCTGACTCTTTTATGGCTAGCTTCTTTCACCCAATAAATGTTTTTATGATTCATCCACTTTATTGTGTGTATTCACTATTTTTTGAAATATGTTTTTACTGCTTTCAAAGAGAGGAAGGGAGAGGGAAAGAGAGATAGAAACATCAATTGGTTGCCTCCTGCACACCCCCTACTGGGGATCAAGCCAGCAACCCAGGCATGTGCCCTGATGGGGAATCGAACCGGGACCTCCTGGTGCATGGGACAACTCTCAACCAACTGAGTCACACCCACCAGGCATTTTAGTTCATTACTTTTAATTGTCGTGTTGAGTCCATTGTCTGAATATACTATAGTTTGTTTTTCAGTCTCCTATTGATAGACATTTGGGTTGTATCCAGTTTGGGCATATTATGAATAAAGCTACTATAAATATTAATGTATAAGTAATTTTGTCAATAAATATACTCATTTCTTTTGGGAATAGGTCCATAGGTGGAATTGTGAGATCTTAGAATAGACTATACATTAAAAAAAAATAACTTTTTCCATCTAATGTATCCTAGGCATGTCAGTACCTACAGACTGGCCCTAAGGTATTTTTTTACACAAACATGCTATAATTTAACCTGTTTCTACTGCTGGGCATTGACGTTGCTTCCAATTACTTGCTTTCTAATTAGTTTTAAAATTAGCCTCATACATGTGTTTTTGTGTCCCATTTCAATTATTTTCCCAAGATAAATGATTAGAAATAAAATGCTACATCAAAAATATGCTCATTTAAAATTTTTACTGCTATGGCCAAACTGTCCCTTTCCACATTAAAGAGCTTCCCAGTCTTCCCATCCTCTTGCCAACATGGACTATTATCAATCTATTAGTTTTTGTAAAATGATGGCATCTCATGTAGTTTCAATATGCATTTCTTTGATCTGAGGTTCAGGATGCAAGGCCTTTCATGTGTTAAAATGTGATTTTTTAGAAATGACAAGAAGTTAAAGCCCAAGGGGAAGAAAGGGGAAGGAAATAAAGCCCTTGGAGGAGTCAAGTGCTCACCTCCGGGGACAAAGCTCCAATCCCGGCTGCTCCACTGGCTCTCCAGGGTTGCCTGAGAGGCCGAAGCAACAACGGGAAGGGAGGCAACCCGCCAGGAACTGTGCATGCAAGGCCCTGGGGCCAGAGAGGAGGGCAGGACTCACCCCAGGGCAAACATGCAGATGTGCAGCGCGTCCTCTGCGATGAAGTCCAGGTAAAACACTGCACCTGCAGCAAATAACAGAAAATTTCAAACCACCTACTTGCCAGTCTGTCTGGGACTTGGCTAAGCTCTCTTCCCTGCAGGAAACCGAGGCGATCAAAAAATATTATGACCACACCTAGTAAAATATTAGAACGGAATCAAAGTCATTTAAGGCAACAGACTGTGTCTTCTTTCTCCCCCCCACCCGGGCTCCTCTTATCGCCATCTTTTTTTTAACTTTGTATTTTGAGATAATAGTAGACTCACAAAAATAGTACAGGGTTCCCGTGCACGCTTCCCCCAATGAAACAATACCATGAACTCAACTACAGACGTATTTACCAGTCTTTTACATACTCCTTTTCCTCATCTTTTTTTGGACATAGAAGCTACACTTTGTGTTTAAGCTGTCGGAGCGTTCAGATGTCAAGCCTGGGAGCCACACGGGCCTGCCACCCTCACCCTACGGCAGCATCTGTCTGGACTCAGGCAGAGTTCCTGAACTCCTGATTCCCTGCCCAACTTCTGACTCAACCATGGTGTTTGCTCTTCCTTTCAACCGTGGCTGGACCGAAGTTCTTGACCGTGATGTGTCTTTGCTTTAGGATAGCTTTCAGGCTGCTCTGGCCAGTGCCCCACTCGATCCCTGGTACCGCCGAGAGCACAGGCCCTGGTGGGTGTGTGGCCCTGCTCCTTCCTACCTCTGTGAGCGGGACTGGGGCACCGCTCATCTAACATGCAGTGCAAAGCATACGGCTTCATGGCCAGGCGTTCCTCAAAGGCAGGCACATTGGTTCTTACTGGCCTTTTTTACTCTGAAGGTTTTAGTCGCCAATGCCACTTAAAAACAAACTCTGCCCTGGCTGGGTGGTTCTGGTTGAAGCATGTCTCATACACCAAAAGGTTGCAGGTTCGATCTCCAGTTGGGGAGTATAGGGGAGGTAATCAATCAATGCTTCTCTCCCACATCAATGTTTCTCTCAATCTCTCCTCCCACCCCAAAATTAATAAAAACATATCCTCAGGTGAGGATTAAAAAAACAACAAAAACAAAAAAATCTCTGATGTGCTTTCAGCCTCTAAAGCCACCTCAGAAAGAAAATGAAAAAAAAAAAAAATTAGGGGTGGAGTGGAAGAAAAGGGGAATATAATAATAATAATAATAATCACTGACTGACTCCTACTATCTTGCAGATGCTTCATATACTCATGATCTCTAAAATTTATATAAAAGAAATCTGTGGTCAGTTGTCCAATGGAGGCTGTGGAGCTAGCAGGTGACGGCAAAAATTATTAAAGAAACCTTGCATCAGCTCTATAAAGTAGGGGCCATTTGGGTTGTACATACTTCAGTTTTAGGAGGTAAGTGTTATTACCTCTATTTTATGAATGTAGAACTCAGGCACAGAGAGGTTAAGTGATTCTCCCAGAGCCACAGAGTTCTGTGTCTGTGCTGGGGTGCAAACCCAGGTCTCTCTGCCTCCAAAGCCTGTGCTTTCTCCACAGGCAGAACCAGTCAGTGGAACTGGCCTTCGGACCAAGGTGGAGCCTCCTCCCTCCACCCTGGAGTACTGTCCCTGCTGCTAGCACTCGGCCACCCTTACCTGCTGTGATGGCGACCGTTGTGGATAGAATGTAGCCCACACTGGCAATCAGAGATGAGTCGTACATCTGTGAGGCCTGACTTAAAAACCTGCAGTACAAAAGCACTCCGGTCAGCGCGCTGTGGGGGTGTTGGAAAGGCCGAGGTGAAAGCCTGGTCTGGCCAGGGTGAATCAGCCGCATGCATCACACTGAGACCTGTGCAGTTCACCCTCCTGTCCCCACACAGGATCGTCACATTCCCTTCCAGGCCCACTGCTGGGCACCAGGTCTCAGATGTGAACAAGGCCCAGGCCTGCCCTCAGACCGGTTACTTCTGACTTAATTCTTATGCTTAGAGAGAGAGTGATCACCTTGCTCTTCCACTTGGGGAGATTTGAGAGAGATTTCTTGAGGACACGAAATGACACCGTTTTGTTTTTCACCTCGCTGACAAAAGGGTGCCTTGTGGGGATGGCACAGCTCGAGTCCCCGAAACAGACGCCTGCCTCAGAGCAGACGGGAGGTGAGGCAGCCTCTGATCATGCATTTCTCACACTGTGACGCAGAGGGTCAAACACACCCACTCCAGGCTTTGTCTCTCAAGCAACAAGCCCCTACACGGGGCAGCTCAGCAAATTAACAGCCCCGCTCTCCACAGCAGGTGCCGAGCCCTGGCAGTAGGCTGCACCCGAGTGCTCGGCCTTCCCTCGGCTTCAAAAACAATGCAGCGAGGCCCAGCAAATGGAGGGGCCCCACGTGCCAAGGCCCAGAAGGAAAAGTACTTGCAACTCACGCGGCTTGATAGATGGCAGTTGCCACCATGCACACGAGCATCACGTAGAAGATGGGGTAGTCCAGCTGCAGGTTCCCCTGGATGGACAAGACAAGCATCCCGGCTACTGCCTTCACTGTCACCACCGTCATCGAGCCTGCCAAGGGTGGACACACATGCTGGGGCCTCAGGAACATGGAGGGAGTCAGACCCTGAACGTCAGTTTATCACCCCAAAGCGCTTGGGGAGAAAGGATGGAGGGAACCCTGGCACAGTCAACCCAGCGATTCATGTGGTGAGCGGGCACTGTTTGTCCCGGATCTCTGGGACCTCTCCCTTGAGCTGCCCGCTGTCTACGCTGCTACGTCAAGGACATGAGGAAAGTAAAGCCCTGACAAATATTTCCAAATGTTGCTTCAAAACTTCTAAAAGCAATGGGTTCAGGTCCCTGTGCCTGGAACACAGTGGGCCTATCTTTGAATGGATAAATAACCCTCTTTTGAGTATCATTCTCATGGCAATCACAGGAATATCATGTAATGGGCAAAGAGCTCTTTTTTAAGATCTCAATTATATTTTTAAAAACATGTCTCTGGCCCGGCAGGGCGTAGCTCAGTGGTTGAGCATCGACCTAGGATCCAGGAGATCGCAGTTCGATTCCCAGTCAGGGCACATGCCTGAGTTGTGGGCTCGATCCCCAGTTGGGGGTGTGCAGGAGGCAGCTGATCAATGACTCTTTCATCATTGATGTTTTTAGCTCTCTCTCTCTCTCTCTGAAATCAATAAAGATATATTTAAAACAACAACAAACATGACTTTGGACAGATGTCCCGAAATGTTTTGGAACCCTACCCCTAATGCACATGCACATGCTTTTCCAATATACATATGTGCTTATGTATTCTAAAATAGAGTCATGCAACACTGCGTTTATATGTATGCACATTATGAAATGTGCAGGAAATACCACTTAAAAGGGCACTTGTACTTGTCTCATTGAGTCCCCTCCCTCCAAGATCTGGGTGCTCTCTTAGGCCCACTATTAGAGGACAGTGCAGCTTAAACAGGGAGAGTCCTGGGAGGCAGCAGCAGGGTTTCCCTGACCCCCTCCCTCCTTCCCCGGGAAGCACAGGTCCTTACCAAAGCTCTAGTTAGTAACCAAACACTATGCGGGGTTAGAGCCTTGCCCCAACCTGATTTAGGAACCATTTTCCCCATGGCACCCATCCCTCTAAAAGGAAAGGAAACTAAAGAGAGAACAAGATCAGTTCTTGCCTTTGAATCCAGAATTACTTCCTAGACTCTGATTGGTTTTGCACGGACCCTTAAGGACTCAATTGCTGAAACCTCTGACTTCTCTGAAATGACATCCTAACCCTCCTCACCCCTCCTCTGCGCTGTCCTTCCTTGCAGCTGTGTATATAAAGTACTCTTCCCCTTGCTAACTGCCGTTTCCTCCCTTCAGAATGGGGCACCCTGGGGGTCAGTCTGTCCTGTGCGTCGCTGTAGTGTTTCCAGCACCACTCCTGGCACTTGGGAGACTCAGTATTTGAACACGAGCACTGAACGCAGCCAGCAGTGTGACGGATCACACGCAGGGGAACCGCCTCCAGCCAGCAGGGACCTCCGGGCCCTCCTGGGGACGGCAGAGCTCTGCCGCCCAGACCCTCCCTTACCGAGTAACGCCACCAAGAGAAGAATCACGACGATGTTGTTGGTGCCCTTCTCCTTGTAGAAGTACAGCAGCAAGCAGAACAGAATGATCTCCACGAGCTACGGAAAGCAGCAAGAGGGGGTCAGCGGGGGGCAGAGACAGGGAGACCGGAGACCCTGGTGGGCTGGGCTGGGGGTGACGCTGCTGACTTCATTAGTCACAGACCGTCGGAGCTGAAAGGGCATTGAAACACCCAACACTCCCTGAACTACTGATAGGATCCTGTGGAAAAGGAGGGAATACTGCGTGGTTCTCTCAAATCCCCAGACAACACTGAGAAGGAGTTTGCTTCATGGCTGAGCTTTGAGGGTGAGGGGCTGGCCCCACATCCACATGGACAAGATTCATTAGGCTGAGACGATCTCTTCCTACTTCACTGCTCCATGGGTAACCCCACTAAAACTGGGGGTCGGTCAAAGAGGGAGACGCTTGTTCACAAAGAAGAGCTCCTTGGTGAAGCAGACAAGTGCACACGCCCCTTGCCCCCTGGCCAAGCCTCCAATGTGTGCAGCTTAGTAGAGCAGGGAGAACAGGACACTAGAGTCAGGGAGGCCCAGGTCTGAACTGGGATCTGCTCTTAAACTAGTTGTGTGGCCTTGGGCAAGTCACTTAACTTCTCTAAACCTCAGTTACCTCCTCTGTGAAATAGGGATAACAGTAATTCTTACCTTATAGGGCCATAATCACAGCTCAAACTTAACGAACACATAAATAAGCCAGGTACTACTCTAAGCATTTTATCTATACTCAAGTAATTAGATCAGCACAATAATTCTATGAAATAGGTACCGTCACAACCCCAAGCTAGTAAATGGCAGGATTTGAACCTGGACAGTCTGAGACGCTCCCCCGACTTGGATCAACAACTCATCTTTTCTACGCCTTAAAGGCCCAGACATTGGCAATACTTCCCCAAGAAGTGAAGCCAGCCCCAGCCGCCGGCAAAAGGAAAGCAGAAAAATCTGACAATGGTTCAGCTCCATTTGCCTACCCCAACCTTCTACCAACGTTTATTTATTATAAAAACTGATGCAGAAACATTAACGGGCATCTTGAAAAGAAAATTTTAGAAAATGCCTCATAATGAGAGACCACAAAACACAGCTGCTTTCATCTCTGTTTTTGTCGCAGTGAATACATATTTTATCTATTCGTCATCGTTGCCAACGCACAATTTTGCATCGGGCTGCTTTTAGTTACCATAAACAATTTTTGTGTTTTATGAAGTTGTCATAATTATCTCTAATGGCTGCAGAATAGTCCATCAAGCAGATGGACAGTTATTTATTTAACACTCCCAACCATCGGGCGTGCATCCAGGGGGGCCCCATTTTTCAGCCATTCTTCCCGATGCCTAAATGCTGCCTGGAACAGCACGTGGCGTTCCCGTGAGATGGCTGTGTAGAAGCTGGTGCCTCCTGATAGATCAGTTCTGTGAGCACGTCTCATTTATTTTTTTAAAATCCACAGTGTCTGGCATATAACAGACAAAAATATTTATTGAATTTGATTTGGCCAGATCTCTCTAGCTGGCAGCACTGTCTCAGTCACAATGAAAGAAGATCAGCTGACTCAGTCACTGAGCATCTTGCCAAGTGCTAGATGGTTTCCATGTCACCTTGTGCCTCTCCAAACAACCAGCCCAGGTCCAGTGACTCCCACCAGTTTAGAGGAGGCAGAGCTTCCAGTTAAGTGACTTGGCCAAAGTCACACGGCATATAATGGATTTGAAACTTTTCCTAAAGAGCTGGGTCTCTGGCTCTGTCCTGCACACATTCCTCCATGTCCATCAGGTAAATGCTGGGGCTGGCTGGTGGTAGGGAGACGACATAGCGCCCAGCTTGGGAAAGCTTTCTTCTGCCTTGTGGGTAAACTGAGGAAAAGCATGTTCCAAGGCCTCTAGAGCAGTCTGAGCTGCTCACATCAGAGGGGGCACAGTGAATACCTGTGTCAGTGGGCCATGGTAAAGGACGGTGGCACTTGAGGCCAGGTAGGCCAGGCTTCAAGTCCAGTTCTGCTCTCATGGGACTCAGAACAAGTTAGCTAACCTCTCTAAGCCCTGGTTTTCTCATCCAGAAAATGGAGAGAAAAATACTTATAGGGTTGTTGAGAGAATACATAAAAAAGTGGTTAGCACAATGCCAGGCATGGAGCAGGACTACCCCTGTAGCCTTAGCCAACACCTTGCATGTTTCCCTTGATTAGTTTGCAGACCTAACACTGGATGTAAATGGGGCAGAGGGAGGACTGACCTCTCGCTGGGTGTTCAGGAGACAAAGTTTCCAGTGTCTACTGTGTTTCTATCAGCTGTGTGATACTGGGCGAAAATAAGTAAATAACATTTTATAATTGTTTAAAATTTCATCTTTCCTTCTTCCCATAAAAGTGATAAATGCTCCCTGTAGAAATTTTGGATGATACATAAAGACAAAGACAAGATAAAAACTCAGTCATAATTCTATCTCCTAGAGAAAACTACTGATGGAACGTATTTTTGCATCTAGTCTTTTATAGGTACATTAGATGTGCATGAACACCTCTAAAAATAAATTTATCACATTCCTCGGTTTTAGACATTCCTCAGGACCTAAGTGAAGAAAGCACCTCCCTGTGAACTATGTATCCTGCACAAGCATGGTCTTCGGTGCTATGAAATACATCATGGTTCACATGTATCCCCTAATGCTGGGTATTCAGGTTTCTGGTTTCTAAGACTCGATCCCCCCTCCCAACATCTCAGGAGGAAGGACCAGAGGCTTCTCTTACCATGTACAAGAGAAAAGGCCAGCTCACGAGGTGCTTGGTGATGTTCTCGCCAGTCATCTTCTCATGGCTGTTGGGTGCGAATGTCACCAGCAAGTAGGTGCCCACAATGGCCAAACTGCAGCCGACAAAGGACAAGACGTAGCGCCCTGCAGGGAAGGGAAGCTGTCACAGGCTGAGGCACAGGCCCTGGGCCAGTGCTTGCTTCTAGTGTAACACAGCTGACTCGTTATAGTTTGTATTTTTGGTTTTCCTTTCTTAAAAAAAAATAGATTCTCTTTCCTTAATGTTATTTTTTTAACGAGATATAGCAGGCACACGAAAAACTGCTTGATGAATTCTCACCAAGTGAGCACACTCATGTAACCAGCACCCAGATCAAGAAAGGGAANGGCACACGAAAAACTGCTTGATGAATTCTCACCAAGTGAGCACACTCATGTAACCGGCACCCAGATCAAGAAAGGGAACATTGCCCGGCCGGGCGTGGCTCAGCGGTTGAGCATTGACCTAGGATCCAGGAGATCGGGGTTCGACTCCCGGTCAGGGCACGTGCCTGGGTTGAGGGCTCCATCCCCAGTCGGGGGCGTGTAGGAGGTAGCCAATCAATGACTCTCTCATCACTGATGTTTCTATCTCTCCCTCTCCCTCTCCCT